AGGGTCTGCCCCTGCACTAGTGACAGCGCTGCCTTATCAGCGTCCCGGCCCCGCTGACAGCTGGGCTGGCTTGTGTCAGCCCCTCGGGCACTCGCGTATCTCTGTCCGGAGAGTTTAAAATAGCAAATCTCTGAGGCCACACAATAGCTTGGGCTTATATGGGCTCCTGGGGGGGAAGGGGGAGCGGCGGAGGGGGCCAGGGCCGCGGCTGCCGAAATAGCAGCTCACAAGTGTTGCATTCCTCGCTGGGCGCCGGGCACATTCCTGCGGCGCTGCCCGCCCCGGGGTGGGCGCTGGAGCCCCCTTAAAGCCCCCTGGCCCAAGGAGCCTTTCCCAGAGCCGCCGCTCCCCGCACTCCGGAGCTCAGGTAGGGCCCGGGGGATGCGCTGGCTCCGGAGCCCGCAGGGACCGCGCCGGGCGCGGGGGCTTCGGGGCTCTGTGCCGGGCAGCCGTGCCCATGCACGGAGCATCGGGAGCCTCCCCAGCGGGTTGGATTTGCCCTTTGTCTTTTGAGCCACCCTGATGGGTGCCCAGGTGGCTCAGATGGGTTTTGGGTGCCCAGGTGGCTCGGATGGGTTTTGGCTGCCCAGGTGGCTCAGATGGGTTTTGGGTGCCCAGGTGGCTCGGATGGGTTTTGGGTGCCCAGGTGGCTCGGATGGGTTTTGGGTGCCCAGGTGGCTCGGATGGGTTTTGGCTGCCCTGGTTCTGGGAAATCTCCGGGGCTCCCATCCCCTGTGCCTCTGCAGTGGACAGCAGGGATGTGATGCCCACGGCCAGCCTGGCCCTGGCTCTCTGGCAGACCAGGGGGTGGGTTAGGGATGGGATGCTCCTATGCCTGGTCTGACCCTGCCAAGCAGGACTGGAGCAGGGACATGACCCATTCCTGGAGCAAATGGTGGGAATGGAGAGCTCCATGTCTGGGCAGCCTGGAGGAAAGCAGAAACTCAGAACTGTGGAGAATTAACTTAGCCCCAGAGTTGTGAGCAGCCAGCCCTGAGCTAAAGGATAGGGGGATTTTGAGGAGTGTGAGGAATATCTGGAATGTTGAAAACACAGCAAATTCTGGGAGACTTTTTGTAGTCAGTGCACTATTTCCTCTTTATCTCTGTAATGTCTGCTGGGTTCTCCTAATTCTATCAAATCAAGATTTCCAAGCTTTAATGAAAAGGTTTATGTGTTTCTGTGCAGAGGATGCATAAATATTTCCTGGAGCCACTTTTTCTTTTGTGCACCCTCTTAACAGCAACAGACTTGTTGCTGTTCCCTCAGCTCTGTGGGATCTAACAGTGTCTGAGGGAGGAGGGCAGTGAGAGTGTAGGAAGAGGTTTTCACACTGTGGGGACCAGGAACCCTCTTCTCCCGTGGCATGAAATGATTGTGTGGAGCCTTGGGTGCTCAGATTTGGCCAAACTTGGGGCATCAGGACCGTGCTGAGCCTGGGGGAAAAGTGGGAGCTGATGTTGGTGGGGAAGCAGAGATCCTGGGGATGGTGCTGGAGGGGGTGCTTAGAGCCAAGCCCCGGACCCATCACAGGAAAGGGAACAGTGGTGGCAAACCAGGTAGTGACCCCGAGGCAGAGGGGGTCAAGTTCTGCCTTTATTTGTCTCCAAAAAGCACCTTGTGAGGAACAGTGAGATTAGAGACCCTCTGGAGCCATGGTTATGCTAAGGTTCCCCTCCTGGAATGCTCCTTTCCCATGCCTGAGCATTCCAGCCCTGGACCCAGCATCCTGAATAAGCGCTCCTGAGGCCTGGCCTCCCCATCCCGGGTAATAAATGCCTGACAGATGTAGCCAGGAGCAGTTGTTCCCAGACTCTGGGTAGCAGGAGCCGGGAAGCCTTGCTGCTCTGGGAACAGGTGGTTCAGCACATGGAAGTTATTTCTGAGCTGCCTTGTGTCGTCTTGTGGCATCTCAGCCCTGCTGAGGGCTGGCATGAGCAGGGGACAGGGCTGGGCTGGGCTGGGGCTGGGGCTCTGGGCTGCTCCAGGATGTCCAGGGATGGGGCTGGTGGGTGCAGATCTCACAGTGCAGTGCTGGGTGAAGGTCAGATGAGGTGAGATGATGAGCAAAGTCCTCCTGAGCACAGCTGGGGGAAAGATGTGCTGGGAAGATGTTTCTGCAGAGCTTTTAGCCCTAAAACAAGGGCTAAATTTCTTAACCAGGCTGTAAGTGGTTCCTTTTAGCTAGCAGGGGAAAAATGCACCTGCTGAGCCCAGGCTGCCCCTTTCCCTGCAGCTCTGCACTTGCAGGCTGGGCTGGGAGGGTTTGCTGAGGGCTTGTGCTGTGCCTGGTGCAGGGTTGTAAATCTGAGAGAAGGGGTCGGCCCTGGGCTAAGAATAGTCAGGAAGCAAAACAAGCTGAGCACTGCAATGGGGTGATTTTCCTGTCCCCTGAGCAAACACAGCCCTGAGAAGGCTGGGCCAGGGGGGCTGAGTGCTCTGGACATGTTTCCTGACAGAGTTATCAGTGTCACAGGAGGTTGTGTCCAATCTCCTGCCTCCTGTTTGGGGCAAGCTGTGATCCTGGGACAGCTTATCTGTGATCCTGGGACAGCTTATCTGTGATCCTGGGCAGGCACCTCATCTCTGCTGAGATGACGCTGTCACAGCCTGGCTAGGGACAGCGGGAAGCTCCAAGTGCTTTGGAGGGAAGCAGCATCTCTGTGCCCCAGTCCTGGTGCTGAGGAACAGGCTGTGCTAGCCCTTATCTCACTTCTAACCCTCACTTTTTCCAATCTGCCTCAAACTCTGCCAGAGAACCAGGGATGTCAGACACGGAGGAGGTCACCGAGGAGTATGAGCAGTAAGTGGGGTGGTTTTAACCCCCTTTGTTTCTCCCCGTTCCCATTTTAGCACTGCAGCATTGCTTGGGAGTGCTCTCATTGTTAGCCCAGCACCACCACAGACCCCCAGCCTGTGCTCCTCTGCCTTGGCAGTGCCTGATCCCAGCAGTGGCAGCTTGTGCTGGGAGCTATATCCACACCCATGGGCAGGACAAGGACGATTCGTGTGTTAAAAATGCTGCAGTTGAAACCTGTGAGACAGAGATGGGAAAACCCAATCTGCTGCTGCTGGAGTCCTGCTGCCACAAGCAGAGCATCACTCTCCAAGGCCCAGATTTGAGAGCAGCTTCTGCTGATGGAGGATGCTGGGCCAGGAGGCACCATCTGGGGAGATGGGGTTGGGTTATAGAGGTGAGCTCCAACACAGTTCCCACTTCTCATCCATCAGCAGAGAAAGGGGACCTGAATCCTCTGGTGTTTCAGTGCCACACCAGACCCATGTGTGTCACCAATTTGTCATCGTGGGAAGGGCTGTGCATCTCCCCCAGGGCCAGGGAAGGACTTGGGGCAAAGGTGGGATGTGAGATGCCCATTTCTGGGATTACTTCTCATGCTGCCCGATGGTGGGGTGCCCTGACCACTGTCGAAGTGCCACTCCAGACCTTCAGCCCCTGCTCTCCACAGCCTGTAGGGTGACCTGGGCCTTGTCCCTGTCCCCACTCAGCAGCTGCCCAGCAGCCATGGCCTGTGCTATGAGGCAGGGGAGCCAGCCTTGAGGAAATCCCAAATTCACCTCAGCCTCACTGATGGCCCCGTTCCAGCAGCTCGATGTGACTCTGTAAATTCCTGTTGTGCTTTGCAGGGAGCAGGAAGGTAAGAGGACATGGAGCACCTGCAGTTGCCCTGAGGCCAAAACTGATCAGAGAAACTCCAATAACCTAAGGCTTCTTTTCCTTCTCTCTGTCCGTGCCCGGTGTGCTCTGTGAAGAGGAGTGTGTGGAGGAAGGTAGGACTTGCACCTGCAAGGACCAAGGGCCAAATGCGAGGGCTCCAGTGTTTTGCTGGGGGGTTTGGGGGTCAGCTCCTGGGCTGCAATGGGCAAATCATGTCCAGGAAAGGCAGACGTGACCATGTTTGAGATGCCTGAACCTCATCAGTAGGTTCAAAACCAGACTGAATTTTCTCAGGATCTCTTTTGTCAGTGATTCTTTGACTCAATGCTGGACATGGGTGTTGGCTGAAGTGTGATCCCAATATCCCAACGGGAGCCTCTGCTGAACTGTGTGACAGTCGTACCCAAACTCAAACTTCCACCTGCCTCAACCTGAGATACAGCCCCAACATAGGAGCTGGGCTGGGCTGAGCTGGGCTGGGCTGGGCTGGGCTGGGCTGGGCTGGGCTGAGCCTCTGGCTGCTCTAGGGCACTGCCAGGCAAAGCACCCTGAGTGTAAAAGCAAAGAGAGGTGCAGGGGGAAGCCCCTGCTGTGCTCCAGTCCTCATCTCATGCATGCCCAAACTCTGTGGCACCCAACTAATCCCTGTGCTTATTCCTTCCCTCCTCCCTGGCTCAGAAGAGGAAGAATGGATAGAGGAAGACGACGGTAGTTATTGCACCTTTCATTATTTCCTCTCTCTGCTCTTGGGAAAAGTCGTGGGTAGATTTGTTCTGCCTCTCCCTGGTTGGGGAATGGTTTTCTTTCATTCTTCCACTTCTCTCTCTTCTTCCTGCGCTCCTCCCATGCCCTGCTGTGCTGTGTGTCCAACCTCTGTCTGTGCCTTGTCTCTTGTATCTGCCAGCCATGGTTTGCTGTCTTTGCTGTCTTCTTTTTCTTCCCTTCTGTCTGGCTGTCGCACCACGGGTGCTCCCAGGGCCTGCGGGCACAGCATCGCCCTGGCTCCGCTGGAGGAATCCCGCGGGGACGCTGCTCCCTCCAGTGGAAAAAGGCTCCAGCAGTGTCATAAATGCCATTGCAAAGGTGCCAGAGGCGCTCCTGGCGCTCCCTGCCAGAGCAGAGCAATAGAAATCCCTCCTGCCTTGCTGGGCTGTGAGGGAACGGTAGCATGAGAGGGGATGAGGGGCAAGCCTGGAGGTGGCGATAAATCCTTCAATTTAATTAATTTAGGGGGTTCTGCCCTGACGAGCACAGAGCAGCCCTGGGGTCAGGGTAGAGAGGAACCCTTTGTTCCCGAGCTGCTGCAGCTCCCCGGGTACCCCTGGGCTCTGTGCTGCAGTTATCCCAAAGCAGGGGTGAATGTGAGGATAAATGTGAGGATGAATTTGAGGATAAATGTGAGGATAAATGCGAGGATAAATGCGAGGATAAATGTGAGGATGAATGCGAGGATAAATGCGAGGATGAATGTGAGGATGAATGTGAGGATAAATGCAAGGATAAATGCGAGGATAAATGTGAGGATGAATGCAAGGATAAATGCGAGGATAAATGTGAGGATGAATGTGAGGAGCTGCAGGGAGCCAGGGAACGCTGCTGCTGCTGCTGCTGCTGCTGCGCTCACTCTGCCCTCATGCCCAGGTCAGGAAGAGCAGGTAGAGGAGGCAGAGGAGGAGACCACAGAAGCCAAGGCAGAAGGTGAGTGGGGGCTGTGCCAGGGAGCTCCATGGCTTGGCTGGGCCATGCTCTGCCCCAGGGGATGCCAGCTGGGGGCTGGGATGTCCCAGGGTGGCTGTGACAGGGGGACATCAGCACCAAGGGGCAGCTGTCCCCCAGATCTGCTGTCCAGTAAGGGGGTATCAAACTGAGATGCCCTTCCCTGCTCTGTCTGGGCCCTACAAACATGAAATGGTGATGAAATATGTGAAATACAAATTGTATTTGCTGGTGGCTGTGTCCAGCCCTCTGAAATAATGCCAAAAATTGTCCAAGCCTGTTTCACCAAGGGTCCGTTGCCTTAGAGGGGTTTCCAGAGGTGGGATTGAGCTCTGACGTGTCTGATCATCAACAGAGCACTGGGTGTCATGAGGTGGCTTTGGGGCATGGTGTGTGACCCTGTGCTGTCACTTCTGCTGGGGCAGGCTCAGATCCCAGCTGTGACCCCGAGTCAGGGTGCTGGGACCCCTCTGTGCTGGGGGATTGACTGCCCTCACCCAGGGGTGCTCATGTTCTCCCATTGCTTTTAAACAGAACAAGAAGATGAAACGAAAGCAGCAGGAGAAGGTAAAGCGAGAGCAGAGGAGAGATGGGTTTGGCCATTCCAGTGCTGATCCCAGTCCCCTGAGACACTGGGTCCTTGTAACAGGGTTTGGGGGCTGAATTTATTTGCTGCCAAAGGGACAATTGGTGGTAAATGGGGCAGAGCTGCCCTGGCCATATCCCCCAGAAGGACAGGCACAGCAGGAGGGATGGATTTGTGCCACCTCTGGCAGAAATGCACCCAAAATACAGCAGGAGAAGGAAGCACTGCTGCTTTTCCAGCCTGAGCTTCTGCAAAACTTGTCTGGATTCCTCCTGGAGAGAACCTAGGGCTCTCCTGGCCACCCTGTGAGTGAGGGATGTCCCTCAGGGGCCTGCTCTCCCCCCATTCATCTGCAGGGATGGAGTTGGGGTTTGCAGTGGGGACAAGCCAGGGACAGCCTCTCCACAGTGTCCCTGGGCAGGACTGGTCACTGACACAAAGCATCGTGTTTTCCACAGGTGGAGAGGGAGACCGGGAGCAGGAACCTGGGGAAGGTGAAGTATCACCCTCATTCTTCTGCCTGGCTGGAGGGTACCAGGGTCTGCTCTGCTCAGCCAGCAGCACCAGCTGTGCCTCAGGCACAACGTGGGCCAGGAGATGGTCCTGGTGAAGCTCCTGCTGCTGCTGGGGAGAGGGAGGGCTCGGCTCAGGGCGGGGTTTGGGTCAAGGTGTGACAGGAAACCCCTCGCTGATACTGACCTTGTCTTTCTGTCCTGCTGCTGGGACCTGCAGGTGAATCGAAGCCAAAACCCAAGTAAGTGTGGCAGGGTTTTCCCTGGGGCAAGGTCTGAGCCAGGGCAGAGCAGAGGCTCAGTGTGACAGAGCCTGGTCCATAAAGGACAGGGCACAGGGAGCCTCCAGGGCATGGAAACAGGGTGGGAGTGGGGCATGGAGAGAAACAGGGAGAGAAACGGACAACAAAACACAGACCATGAAGGGGACCCCGAGAATGAGGTCTTTAGGCAGCATTTTATATGTTCCTTGGGAGAAGCTCAGCTGCCCTGTGACCCTGCAGGTGGCAGAAGTGTGTGTGTGTGTGAGCATCCCAGTCTAGGATACAGAGTCCAGGCTGTGGCTGGCATGAGGCACATGTTTCCAGGAGTGCCACGGACTGAGCCTCCTGAGGGAGCAGGACTGTGAACCATTGCCAGAAGCCTGCGGGGTCCTCCTGGGATTCTGCAGTGTGGGAGGCAGATCTGCCCTCAGCCATCATCATCCCTTCATCCCTTTGTGCCCCTGCTGAGCACCTCCTGCCCTCCCTCAAGCCCCACAGGATGAGAGGATGCAGCTGCCTGTGCCAGGTCACTCCGCAGCACACAGTGCCCTTTGTGGGGAGCAGTGGGTGCCTGCCAGCTCAGGGGGCCTGGCAAAGGGCCCTGCCATGCTTTCTGCAGCTTGCAGAGTTATTCCAGCCATTCAGGAACCTGGGAGCGTTTTCCTGGGAATGCCACAGGTCTTCCTCTGTGGCTGCCCAGCTGGCACCTCCAGCAGGATGCACTGCACTCCCTGTCCTCCAGCCGTGCCCGCTCTGCATCCCCGGGGGCCGTGGGTGGGATGGGTGAAGGGCAGGTGCTGTCCCAGACCTGCTGCAGCCGCATCGTGCTCCGGCTCCCCTTCCACTGCAGGGTCTTCATGCCCAACCTGGTGCCTCCCAAGATCCCAGATGGCGAGAGACTGGATTTTGATGTAAGTTATGGCCCAGTTCCCATTCCTGGGGTGCTGCCCTCCCGCTGCTCCCCCTCAGTGTCTGGCAGCTGCGGGAGGCTCTGGCTGTTTGTGTCTGCTGCAGGACATTCACCGCAAGCGCATGGAGAAGGACCTGAATGAGCTGCAGGCCCTCATTGAAGCCCACTTTGAGAGCAGGAAGAAGGAGGAAGAAGAGCTCCTGTCCCTCAAGGACAGGATTGTATGTGTTCAGCCTTCCCCTCTCTGGCTATTGCCACCCTGTCCCTGCGGGCACTCAGCCACTGTCCCCTCCCCAAGGTCCTGGCAGACCTGGGACACCCCTGACCCTGCAGGAGAGAGCCTGAAGGTTGAGCCAGACTTCTATGAGCCCCAGTGCCTGCAAACCATAAAATTCCCTGAGCTGGAAGAGACCCACAGGGGTCACTGAGTCCAGCTCCTGGCCCTGCACAGAAAACCATCCCACCCCATCCCTGGGAGCATTGTCCCAATGCTCCTGGAGCTCTGGCAGCCTTGGGGCTGTGCCCATTCCCTGGGGAGCCTGTTCAGTGCCCCAGCACCCTCTGGGGGAAGAACCTTTCCCTGATATCCATCCTAAATCTCCCCTGGAACAGCTCCAGCTGTTCCCTTCCTGCCCCTTGCTCACTGGGATGCCCCTGGTGTGGCTGCTGTGGTGCTGCAGTGCCTGATGTGGATGCGCCTCTCCCCGGGGTCACTGTCCCCAGCCTCCCTGGGGGCTCTCGGGGCTCTCGGGTCAGGGATCTGTCCCTTGGAACAGAGGATGCAGATTCCCTGCGGTGTCCAAGCCAAGGTGCCCTCCCTGTGCAGGAGCAGCGGCGAGCGGAGCGGGCGGAGCAGCAGCGGATCCGCAGCGAGCGGGAGAAGGAGCGCCAGGCCCGCATGGCCGTGAGTGTCCTCTGGAAATGCGGCTTGGGATGGGCTGGGGGAGTCGGGGACACGAGCTGTGTGTCCATCCACCACTGCTGACCGCCTCCTGACCCTGGCAGGAAGAAAGAGCTCGCAAGGAGGAAGAGGAGGCACGGAAGAGGGCGGAGGAGGAGGCGCGGAAGAAGAAGGCGTTCTCCAACATGCTGCACTTCGGGGGTTACATGCAGAAGGTGGGACCCTTCCCAAGGGGGCTGGGATGGAGCCACTGCTGCTCCTGGGGAGGGCTCGGCCATGGGCTGACCTCATCCATGTGCCACTCTGGGGTTTGCAGGCAGGAGGGGGCCGGGAACTGCGCTGGGGTCAGGAGTTACAGGGCCAAAGTGAGCTCAGAGCTGCCCCGAGATCAGCTCTGCCCTGCAGATGGGCAGCTGCAGCCTTGCCTCAGGGACAGGGACGAGGACATGGACGAGGTGTCTCGTCCACTGTTGCCAAAATGTCCTCAAGGACCTCATGTGCTTCTGGAGTCCCAAAAGCTGAGGGTGTTGGGTGCAGAACTGGGGATGGGGGAGAGCAAAGGCTGGGCAGATTTCCTTCTCTCCAGTGGATTGATGGTTTCCTCAGTCAGAGAAAAAGGGTGGGAAGAAGCAAACAGAGCGGGAAAAGAAGAAGAAGATCCTCAGTGAGCGACGGAAGCCCCTGAACATCGACCACCTCAGCGAGGACAAGCTGAGGTGAGCACAGGCTGCAGGAGGGATGGCCCGGGCAGGAGCCCTGGGCTGGGTCTCAGCTCCAGGGCAGGAGCCCTGGGCTGGGTCTCAGCTCCAGGGCAGGATCCTGGGCTGAGGGCAGCTCCTTGGGGCTTCCAGCTGAGGGGGATGGGCTGTGACAGCCCATGGGGGACACGGGCTCCAAGGCTGTGCAGGGCCACCATGGCCAGGCTGCGGCTGATGGCACCAGCCATGAGAGGGAGCCAGGGTCACACGGGTGGGACAGGTGTCCCCACATGTCCTGACCTCCCCTGTGCCTCTTGTCCTGAACTCACTGCCTGGGTAGCACATCCTTGTCTGGGAGCCTCCCGAGCCCCATCCCCGGGAGCAGATGAGGGGCTGGCATCAGTGCCCCATCCCTGCGCTGAGCTCCCTGGGAGCCACAGCCCTTCCCTGCACTGTCCCCAGCCGGTTCTTCCTGCAGGGACAAGGCCAAGGAGCTGTGGCAGAATGTTCATGACCTGGAGGCTGAGAAATTTGACCTGCAGGAGAAGTTCAAGCGGCAAAAATATGAGGTGAGCCCTCTGTGAGGCAGAAACACGAGAGGGCCTCTGTGATTTGTCCACCCTGTGTGTTCCCAACTGCTCCTTCTGCTCCCCAGCCAGGGGATCAGCTGGGGTGTGCAAGTGATCTTCTAGCTCCTGGGGATGTGTACCTGGCACCACTACAGGGCAAACACATCACAGCCAGGCAGGAGCGAGCCCTGAGCAACCTGGGACAGTGGAAGGTGTCCCTGCCCATGGCAGGAGGTGGAATGAGATGGGCTTGAAGGTCCCTTCCAACCCCAACCATCCTGGGATTCTGGGATTCAAAACCCCACAGAAAGACTGCTGGGGAAAAGAGAGCAGTGATGCATCTTCAGCCAGCCCTGGTTCCCAGCCTGGGGGTTCTTGTCAGACCTCACCATCCACCATTTTTTTCTTTCTTTTATTGCCCAGCCTCACCACCCATCATTTTTTCTTGCAGATCAATGTTCTTCGAAACCGCATCAGTGACCACCAGAAAGTGTAAGTGGCTGCACATCCCTCCTCCAGCTCCCTGCTCCCCAGTTCCCTCCTATAGATCTCCCTCGCTAAACCACCTCCTCCCCTCCCCCTGCTGCTGGTGCCCGGCATTCCTGGATCTGCAGGTCTGTCCCAGGGACCTCAGTCCCTGCCGTTCTGCTCCTGACAGACCTCCATGGTCCCACTGCCACCAGCTATCCCCCTCCCCAGAGACCCCAGCAGGGGATGGACCCCAGGGGGAACCCACAGAAAGCACGGGAAGCTTTGTATCCTGTGGGGTCCTTCCAGTCTTCAGCTACCCCATCCCTGCAGGGGCTCTGCCCAGCATCTCAGGAAGCTGCTGGAGATGCCAGCTTGTCCATCAGGGGTGGTCCCATGGGCTGTGGGATTTGTGCAGGCCCACAAGGCCAGGGGAACCAGTCCCGTGCCCGTGTTCCCTGCATGTGGCTGGGGAACCCTTCATACGAGGGTGGAAGAGGGCATTTCACCCCTACTCCCAGGAGCAGCCTGGTGCTCTCACATCCCCATCCCACTTCCCCTCATGGGGGAGGTGCTCAGCCCACCCCATGTGTCAGGGGCAGCAGCTCCCACCCACTTACACCAGGTCTCTCTTCTCTCCTGCCCCACGATGGTGTGATCCTGCAGCAAAGGGTGAGTACAGGCATTTCTGAGGGCTGTGTGTTCCTGCACAGGTGCTGTGTGTGTGTGTGTCTGTGTGTGTGTGTGTGTGTGTGTGTGTGTTTGTGTCTGTGTGTGTGTGTCTCTGTGTGTGTGTGTGTTCCTGCACAGGTTGCACAGGTGCTCTGTCTGTGTGTTCCTGCACAGGTTGCACAGGTGCTCTGTGTGTGTGTGTGTGTGTGTGTGTTCCTGCACAGGTGCTCTGTGTGTGTGTGTGTGTGTGTGTGTTCCTGCACAGGTGCTCTGTGTGTCCCTGCACATGTCCCGTGTGTGTCCCACCCCACGTGTGTTGCAGGGACAGCAGGACCCCAGGGCAGGAGCAGGGCTCAGGGATGAGGCAATCCCAAGGATTGGCAGCCAGAAATGCCCTTCACTGCCTACCCAAAGCTCCTCCCCTGTGCTGCCCTGTGCTGGTAAAGGCGAGCGATAGGCTGGGCCCTGAAGGATCCTGCAGCTGCGCTTATCCCTCTCCAGCCACAGATGCAACTTGTCAGTTCTTCTTGGAACAATTCTTGGTGGGGAGAGACATGGGAAGGAAATGCTGTGTCCTTAGAATCCCCTGGCAGCCGCATGAGCTTGTTCCCAGAGAGTCCCAAGAGACTTTGACTCAGGTCCCAAGGTTTACCTGGGGCCAGTGAAGACCGTCAGCCCCAGAGCATCGGGCAGTTTCCAACGGGAAAAGGCTGCAGGACCACTGACAGCACCACCTCATCCTCCCTGTGTGGCCACTGATGATGCCTTTTTGCATGAGCTTTTCCTCTTCCCTTGCAGGTCCAAGGGTGCCCGTGGGAAGACCATGGTGGGCAGCCGACGGAAGTAGAGGCTCAGGGAGAGAGGAGGCCAAGCCTCAGGAGCTGCAGTGGCTGCACAGAGCCCTGGCTGCAGGAATGGGGGTTCCAGGGGGTAGAGGCCTCATGAGTGTCCCATCTCCACCCCCCAGTGTTGTTGTGTCTGTAAATAAAGAGGTGGTGAGGGGGTGCAGATGTGGTCTCCGTCCTGAGGCTCTGATCCCAGAGAACACAGGCTCAGCACAGCTCGAGGAGTTGCCCACCTGCTCTCCAAGCTGTGAGAGATCACAGCAACCACCCAGGACCCCCCCAGTAACTGTCCCTGTGCCTCCCAGCATCATCTCAGCTACAGTCCTTGGCAGGTTTGGTGACAGACCTCAGTGCTCTGAGCTGCTTTTCCTGTTGCACTTTGGGGCAATCCTTGTCATGACCACTTTTTGTTCTGCTTTTACTGTACCAGAGCCCCACTGGCTCCTCTCTGGTCACAGCTGGCCCTGTGGCACACCATAGACAGGGGCACTGCTTCCAAGCCTCTTGGCCCATGGAACAGTCACTAACTCACCTTCCAGGCTATTTCCATTCCTGTTTCTTGCTCTTGGTAAAGGCCCTGACCAGCTGTGTTTGCCTTCTCTGCATGTTCCTGACAGCATGCAACGAAGCCTTGAGATAAAGCTGTGTGGGGAGGCTGCTTCTCTGTGCTTCAGGGGGCAGATCTCTTTCATCTGGCTGGGAATCTGCAGCATGTCACACGTGTGCTGTCCCTGGGGACACGTCACCTGCAGACCTCCCAGTGTTCCTGGCGGATCTGGACCTGGATCTGGATCTGGACTGACAGCCAGCCCCAGGCACCAGAGGTCCTAGAGGGCTGTTATGCTGCCCTATTATGTTAGGACAACCTGTCCCATGCTGATGATAAGGCAAAGTCCAGCATCTGAGAAACCTTTCCCAGAGTAGTGGGGATGGGAGGATGCACAGGGTGGTGAATCTTGTCCCTTGGCAAGATGTTTTCTGTCCCCCTTGCTGGGGCTGCCTCTCCTCCCCATCCCTTGCTTGGTGATGTGGGGGTTCCTGCAGGTTTCTGCCATGCGCTCCTGTTGGATGAAGATTTCTTTTCCCTACTTCAGCACACACCACCAGGTTTTGGGGAATAAGGCTGAGGGACGCTCAGAATCAGTGAGGCACAAGTGGAGGACAACCAGCTCCCCAGCACCTCCCTCCTCAAAAGCGGGATGGGGAGGGCAAAGGGGAGAGCTGGCTAGGGTGGCAGTGCTGGGACGTGGAACATCCAGAGGGTGCCTGAGTGACAGTCAGTGACATTTCCAGCCTGCCTGATGCTCGGGAACAGGAGCCGGGAGCGCTCGGGGCGGTCAGCTGTGTCCGCTATGGCGAACAGATCCCTTGTGCCGGCTCTGGAGATCCATCCTCGCGGCCTTTCCCGCGGGCGCGGCAGGGCGGGGGCACCGGGCGCTCCCCGCTTCCCACAGCGCTGCCTGTCCCGGCAGCTCCGGGCCCGCCTGGCACCGCCGGGCACCGCCGGGCACCGCGCCCGGCCCGGCCCATCCCCGCCCGGGCATTGCCGGTGCCCCGCTGCCGTGCTCGGGAGCGGCACAGCGGCAGCGGGGCGCTGCAGTCCGCTGAGACGAGCTGGGGGCTCGCAGGGCGCTGGAAATTATTTATTTAAAAAAATACGGATATTGATCTAGTATCGATATCCAACTGTGACGGACAAAAACTCTCTAACAATTTAAAGTTAGAAAGTGTATGTTTATTCGACGCCGGGCAGCGTGCGGGATAGCTCCCAAATACACACCGCACCTTCCAGGTGATTACAGAGTCTTTTTATCCATACAAGTACTGAATACACAAAATACAAATACATATTCATAATTTTGGTACATCCCATTCCCTGCTTCCTATGCTAATCACTCCAAAAGCTATTAAGCATGCGTAGTTTGTCCCTTGAAATGGGTCAGTGGTCCCTTTCATGGGGAGAGGTCCCAAAATGAGGAAGTAAATGAAGTCTTCCTCATTCTGACCTTTCTACATTTTCAATGCAAATATGACAAATGAACTCTTGGTAGAACTCCCATTCCTTGTCTTCAGTTGGTTTCAGAACAGAGGAGGCCCACAATTGTCTTATGTTCCTAAAAGCTATTTATCAGTTTCTATATTCTTCATTATAAACCCAGCTAACTAAACATTGTGCTGACAAGCAATTAATTATTAGTTAACTACTAACTCCTAACTTCATCAAGGCCTACTCATTTATTATTCTTATTTTAATTAACTCTAGTAAGACTTATTTCTCTTAGCTCCTCAAAATCTCTAAATGCCTTAAAGTTTACGTTTCAGAAACATCCCGGGTGTTGTGGCGGCTGTGGGATGGATGCTGCGGCTCGGGAGGTGGTGCCGAGCTCGGCTGGAGCACGGCGCGGGTTCTGTGCTGCTGCTGGGAGCAGCTCTGCCCCGGAGCCCTCTGCAGGGGCTGCAGCTCCTCCCGAGGGGCAGCTCCGATCTCTGCTCTGTGGGAGCGGCGACTGGAGCCGAGGGACGGGTCAGGCTGGAGATCAGGGAAAGGTGCTTCCCCCAGAGGTGCTGGCACTGCCCAGGCTCTCCAGGGAATGGGCACGGCCCCGAGGCTGCCAGAGCTCCAGGAGTGTTTGGACAGCGCTCTCAGGGATGCCCAGGGTGGGATTGTTGGGTGTTTGTCCAGGGCAAGTGTTGCTGTCGAGGCAGGACGGGAATGAGAAGACTGACTCAGAAGGCTGTGAGCGTAAAACTCCAATTTATTCAAAATACATTGCTCTTTTATACAGAGTTCTCAGTTTCTTTCCTTGACTGAATCTCAGTCCAACAAGCAGGAGTTGGACTGGATGATCCCTGTGGGTCCCTTCCAGCTCAAGACATTCCAAGACTCTGTGATGTGCTGCTGTCAGAGTGAGGGAGCCCAGGAGCAGCCTGGGGAGGATCGTGCAGCGTGTTCACAGCCTTGAAGTGCTTTGTTGTGGAGATCTGAGCAACCTGGTCTGTGGAAGGTGTCCCCGTCCATGCAGGTGGTAGAAAGGGATGAGCTCTGAGGTCCCTTCCAGCCCAATCCATTCAGTGATTCCGTGTTTGCAGTGCTCTGCTGTCCCCCGGCTCTGCTGTGTGCTCTCCCTGTCCCCATGGGCAGCAGCACCTCTGGCTGCCAGGTCAGGGCACTGCCTCTGGTGTGAGGGGTAGGGAGCCCTGCCCTTCCCCAGCAGGGCACCTTCCCGGGAGCTGGGGGTGAAACATTCCCTGGCAGGCTGCAGAGGAGCAGCATCTCTCCCACAGCACGTGGCCTAGGGTGACAGAATTCCCTGCCTTGGAAGGACCCACGAGGACCACGGAATCCAGCTCCAGCTCCATCCTGTGGTCCTTCGAGGAGCCCTTTGTGCAGCACCTCTCTGGAGCACAGCTCATGGGAACCACGTCAGCCTGAGCCCTGGGGTCAGGCTGTGTCCCACGGAGTCTGTGCAGTGCAGGCAGCCAGGAGCCCTTGGCTGCTCAGTGGAGACACTGGAGGAGCTGCAGCGTGTGTGTGTTGTGTGCAGCACAGGACTCGTGTGGCACACAGGGCTGTGCCCTCCCCGGGCTGGTGCCAATGTCCTGGCAGGAGCTCAAAGCTCCAGAGGTTGCTGCCAGCCCAGGGTCCAAATCCTTCTCCCACAGTGTCCAGCACAGGTGTCCCAGCACTGCTGAGAAGCCCAGCCTGCAGCAGACTTGTGCTGCCAGGGCTCACAGACCTGCAGCTCATGGTCTGTCGATGCATTCCATGCCAGGGTGCTCCCCGGGGTGCCGCTGTCCCCATGGGGTGGGATGGCTGTGAGGAAGGATGCATTTGGTACTGAGAAGGTGCTGATAAATGCTGAGATGATGTTTGGGACTCTCCTTGTACTCTAAAACAGTGCTGGGAGTGAGGCAGCCCCGTGCTCTTCTCTGCCTGCTCGAGACTCAGAACAAAGCCACAGTGAAATATTGCACAGCCAGGTGCTGCCACTGCATCCCACACAGGAGCTGCCTGCTCATGGCTTTGGGCAGCTCTCGTTACCCAGGGGTGCTCTGGGCAGCACGGGAGATGTTGGCATTGCTGTCCTAGGGCCATCTGGCCAATGCATGTCCAAGGAACCAGGGTCAGGCCAGTGTCCACAGCGTTATGGGCCAGGACGCAGCTGCAGTGGGACAATGGAGCAGAAGCTCTTGAAGCTGGAATTCTGCCAGGGCCCCAGGGTCTCACTAGATGGGATGTGGAGCCTCTCATTGGAGCCATCAGTTGGGGCACAGAGTGAGGGATCCCCTCTCCCCCAGTTCAGAGACGGCAGATCATGGAATGGTGAAGGTTGGGAGGGGCCAAGGGAGGTTTGCTAGGATGGAGCTGTGTCAAGGGAGATTTAGGCTGGATATCAGGAAAGGTTCTTCCCTCAAAGGGTGCTGGCACTGCCCAGGCTCCCCAGGGAATGGGCACGGCCCTGAGGCTGCCAGAGCTGCAGGAGTGTCTGGACAGCGCTGCCAGGGATGCACAGGGTGGGATTGTTGGGGTGTCTGTGCAGGACAGGGGTTGGACTGGGTGATCCCTGTGCATCCCTTCAGGACATTCCCCTATTCTGTGATTCAGTCCCCCCTCCCTGCTCAAGCAGGGAGATGTTGAGGAATTGTTTCCCCTTCAGGCCCATCCCGGGTGGGTGGACTGCTCTGCCTCTCCAGCTTGTCTCCCTGGGGAGCCCATCAGCCCATTCCTGGTGCAGGATGGGGAACCTGGGTGCTGTGGGGCTGGACAGGGGGAGGCACTGCAGTATAACACACCCTGACTCCTGTGCCTCCACTGGCCAGGTCAGGGTTTTGGTGCCACCCAGGGTGTGCAGAGCAGCACGGGACAGGTGGCACTGGGTGCTGTCACTGTGGGCAGCCGGCACTGAGCTTTGGAGCATCCTGTGGAATTCACAGCTTCCAGCACCCATGAATTCATGTACAGGGTGCCTGTGTTGCCCTGATCCACAGTGCCCCCATCCCCACATAAGCAGCGAATGCCCAGCCTCCAGCTCAAACCAAGACCAAATGACAAGCAAAAACTGCAGAAATTGGAGAAGTACAACCTTGGATTTCTTGCAGGTCAAATCCAACAACCACCTGTAGCTTAAAAGACAGGAAAAAGAACATAAATGCTGAACTTTG